CCTCCTGTTTATGTACAGACTCCTCCTGTTTGCGGAGGTTATCCTCATTCAGGGCTTGCTGTTGAAAACACAACTGTCGTTATTTAGACACCAAGTCTCATTTTTAAGCATTTTAGACTTAATTTTATAGGAGATTACTTCACCTGTTGCCTTAGTTGGTCCTCATATCTCTGCCTGGCCAGCTTGTCTTGATACTGAGCTCTCTGTAACGAGACAAAACTGTTAACCTAAAGCTCAATTCAATCTAGTAAACTCTGTAACGCACATGTGATTGTTCTTCACTTTAGAAACACATATGAAGAGAAAAAGCATTTCTATACCCACCGCTTGATGTTGCTTGGTCTCCTCATTCAGAGTTTTTCTCCTCTCCTCTCCCTGGATTCGGACTTGGTCGCCTTTGATCTGTTCTAATGCGGCTTCATACTCCTGTTGAGTAAGAAGAAGACAGACATTTTTATTATTGTTTGTGCAAAAAAACAAATCCCTCATAAGTCACAGGAGTTTAAATCAATTGAGCTACATGAAGCCGCTACTGGAGAGATACCATGTGGACATTGAAATAAACATTATATCCACAACTAACATTTATTTTTGACCAACTACAAATACGTCAGGCCTGCTTTGTTAATCTCAGGTTTACAAATACACTGGTAAAAAACCTCAACAACACTATTAAAGCTTTACATCTTGTGCACTCAAGAAGTGTCTTTTTTAATGAAGAGACAGAGATGTGATAAACTCTTATTGCTTATATTAACATGTTATAAACATATAGTAATGTTTGAAGCAAAAAAAATCAGAGCAATAAAATGCACAAGTAATAAAATGCAAAGGTGATAAAAAACAACCCTGAATTAAAAAAAAAAAACAGTAATTTATGTCTCCGCCATCTTATAGTATCACATTAACATATTTGTAATCAATTTAAATAGGTACAAATGAAATGTTGTCTGAAGCAGATCAAAATACAGTAGAAGCTGAATCTGTTACCTTCATTTTGCTCTGATGCTCCATCTGAGTGGACTGCTCCTGCATCCGAGCCAATTCCAGAGCTTCTTTGGCATGTCCTGGATTGATGTGAGAGGATCACACACAGAAGTTTGACTGCTTCACAAATTGAGTTTTAGGTATCAGTTTATTACGTTTTTCTGTTTAAAAAAAAAAAAAAAAAAAAAAAGACAGATATCATCACCTCTCACTGTACAATTCTGTTTCTAGTCATTTTTATTATTTGACTCTAGAAAAAAAAAAAAATAAGAAAAATGGGTGAACCTTTTCAAGGTAAGTCGAACAAGTGGATGTTGCAACCTGAAATGACCTTTGAACCGTGTCCTTAAGTCTGAATGAAGCTGAGAGCAGGGACAGCATTGTCTATTTGATCAGTCGTTAAGCTCATAAAGATATAATAAAGACATACATGTGCAGCTGCTGGCTTGGTAGTTTGTGGCTCATTATCTAATAATCTAATAAGCTGCTGCATCACTGAGGCGACCACCACTATGAATCAGGGAGGAGTATCTTTATCTAACTTGTCAGACCATTAACCCGGGGTAAACCTCCACTCCGGTGTGTGTCAATGTCTGCCCTCTCACACACTTACGGGACTTGTCGAGATCCTTGGCCGCCTGAGCAGCCCTCTCCAGCCCGGTGGGATCGAAGTTGCTCCATTTGTCCTTGGCTTTATCTCCGCCGCCGCTGGAACCTCCGGCAGGCGGTGGCGGTGGTGGAGGCTGAACCGGGAGCCCGGGAGGCGCTTCGGGCTGCCCCTTGTTCAGGCCGAACAGCCACGACATTCTAAACAGAATTAATAAAATACAATTTCGCCGGTTCTGTGAATGGCAAGAAGGCAGCAGCAGCTACTGTACTGTCACTTCACTTCCTCCACACACGCGTGTCACGCCGCAATACTCTGCGCGTGCGCAACAGAGAAGCTGAAAAACAACAACGCTGATTGGCTGGTAGCTAGTACTCATGGCTACCATTGGCTATCCCCAGCAGCTCGCTTCAACAGAGGTCATCCAAGTAATCCCACCCAAAATGAATACGGTAGGCGCAGAGGGTCAGAAAGTACTTACAATTCATATGAAGGGAAACCTCTTGTGATTGGATTGCATCAGACTCTTCCAGGTTCTGTAAGTCATATCTCATTGACATTGCTGTGTCATTCGTTCATCATTTTCTAGGTTTTTTTTTTTTTTTTAAATAGCATTTTAGGGACATAATCAATATGAAACCTTTAGATGTCTAGTGTAGAATGAAATACCTCTGCAAATCACATTCCTATCAATGAGATTAGAAAAGACAGGATGACGAAATGTATGTATCAAAATGTTTATTGAAATTAATTAGAGGAAAGAAACTGTCACATATATTTACACAGAGAGAAGAGTCAATACATGATAACGCCTAGGGTTTAGCTTCTTCCAGACATTTCCATAAAAAAAAAAATGAAGTCACAATCCAACACATTCAACTTCACAAAGTTGGCATGTTTACAGCAAAGGATAGTTGTTGATGATACCATCACATCATCGATCACAGCATTGTGGGTAATGAGGGGATAAGATGAGTTGTATTTTGCAAGTAAAACTGCCATTTTTAAACTTAAGTTAAAGATCCTTTAATTTACGCCTATGATGGGCATTTTTAATATTCACTTGAAGTGGTTTTCACCTGAAAAAAATACAACAGCATGTAATGATATCCATTTTCTTAATAGTAGGGAAAGTCGAATAAATGTGTCAAACTGTGGCATGGGTGCAGAGTGGTAAGGCTAGAAAGTGTTCTTCAAGGTCAGGGATCAAGGAAGAGGCCTGCTGGAGTGCCCTTGAGCAACACAGTACATCCATTTCAGCTTCAAGGACAGTGCTCTGTTGGTATTTCATTTACCAAACCAGAAAGAAAAAAACTCTCTTTCGCAATCAGGGTCCTAAGCAGTGAATTGCCAATTAAAATTGAGATTTACTTAAATGAAGCAGCAACTTTCAGACTGTTTGCAAAAATTTTTATGATCCAAGACCACTGCTCTCAAACCAAGGTAACATTTGAGAACAATGTAACTGTATAAAGTGCTTTACTGCAGCAGAACAACACGGGATAAAACACCACTAGGCTCTTTTCCATCACCCAATGCTGCACGGAAGCCTTCCTGTTGCCGAGCTCTTGCCAGCTTTGCGAGTGAGAGGAACGACCGAGGTTCTGTCACAGCGAGATCACAGATAACACGCCGGTTGAGCTGAACGCTGCTCTGTATTGAGGATGAAAAAAAATTAAGTGTTTTACACAGAGTGAAGAGACAGCACGATAAACATAGAGTCTCAATGTGTTCAACAAAACTAACCTTGGTGAGGTTGTGCATAAGGGCTGGATACTTCATGCCATGCTCTCGTGATGCTGCTGCAATTCGTGTGATCCAAAGCTAAAGTGATAAAAAACACACAACAAATGTAATTAATGAAACTGAATGCCATTTCACCATGAAATCCACTCCCCCCCACCATACAGTGTTTAAAAAATAAATATTCCAGCTTTCTGCAATAAGGGTTTGAAGGACCGTTTAATTGAAGTAAGCTTCAACACAAATTGGAGCTTTGATGTCTAACCTGTATTACCTGTAACCCCTTAAAAAGAGCTACTGTTTGTGTCTGTTCAATTGACATAGGACATTTGTCTGGACAAGATTAGGGAGCCGTTAATCAATAGTGAATAAATCCTTCCTCAATAATGTAATTTAAATCATCCTGGGATTCAAACAATGTGAAAATAATCAAAAAAAAGCACAGTAAAATATAAAATAGTTAGACAAAAAGAATACAACTTCAATCTTAAATGCTAAAATAAAAGTATTTTTCCACTGAAGTGTCCATTCTCGCAATAATCTCGCAATATTGTAATCTTTGATAGTTTTTTTTGTTGCATTAGTTATTTATTCATATGAAGCCAGTGCTCCCTAAAAGTGTCTCATACTGTCCATATGATTGATTATCATTAAACAAATCAAAATAAATCTTATTGATTAGTGTCGTTTGCCTTTTGATTACGTTAGTTTATATGGCTGTAAAAAAAAAAAAAAAAATCCTTTATCAGTAAAACAAGTTTATTATCCCACGAGGGGCAAATGATCCTCAATCATCCCCACTCTGAATGTCATTTGAAGCATGTAGTTCAATCCTGTGTACCAGACATGTTTGACATATCAGTTAATAGTGATATTTTCATGTCTTACCGTTCTCATGTTCCGTTTCTTAAGCTTACGAGATTTGGTTGCGTACACTAAAGCTCTTCTCACCGCCCGCACAGCCAGACTGTAGCATCGGTTCTTTCTGCCTCTGAAGTGCTGCAAGAGGAACCAACAGGAAGGATGACTTCAACAGAATGACCACCACTGCTGCTGTTAATGTTAAGAGTGTGACGAGTTAAGATATCATCTCCAGGGTTAAAAACAAAGATAATGTTAGCTGAACGATCACACATCCTACAAAAATGATCTTGGCAGGAACTGGTCGTGGCTTATTTACCCGAGCATGTTTGAGAACTTCTTGGACTTTCCAGTATCTGTCAGGTCCACGGCTTCTGATCCAACAAGACAGCGACAGAAAAACCATGGCTGTTCCTTCAGTCTCTAGGGAAAAACGATGAAACACTGCATTAAGCGACCTCACAGCAGAAGAAACTCGATGTTATGAGAGTACAAATCCACACGCCCGCACCACGACTGACTACAGGCACATGGGGTTCGCTCGATTTACAAAACCCGGACAATCTGTGTGCGCCGGTCTTCTGCTCCGCTCGAGTTGGCTGACACTAAAAAGCCATTACACCACCAGTAACACGATGTCAGATACACATATTCACTCGTTGGAGCTAAATATTACTGCAGAAGTGGCAGAAATAGAGAGTAACACCATTCTTTGTTGTGCGTTTTCCGCAGCCGGCAGACGTCGTTCATTAAAACATTCGCCCCCAAACAGCTCAGTGACGCGGTGAGTGTGGTGGCTGCTGGGATAGCAGGCACTGGAGGTCAGAGAAACTCCAAAATGTCGGTAGCTGGCCTGACGTCCTTGAGTCGCTGCGGTGTTTTGGCTCTCCGCTCCCCCGCCGGACTGACGGTACGTGGACAGTCAGAATAATCAACCTGCGTCATTAACCTTTATGTTGGTTACAGTTTCTATCAGTCGCTGCGTCTATGATCTGAAGTCCTTGTTACGTAGTTCCGCTCCTGGCTTGTAGATAGCTTAGCTCTAGCTGTGAACTTCAGTCAAACTCACTTAACTTAACCATGCATTGTTAAACAGCGAATGTGTACATATTTCAAACGTGGACGATACAAATCCAGATGCCGAAGGAGGTTAAAGAAACATGTAAACATACCTTATCTTATAGCAATGCATAAGAGAGCACCAAAAACGTGTCATGGCATTCAAGCTAAAAACAAAGCAGGCCAGGCAAAATGTTGAATGAACAACCTGATCGAGTGTAAAAGTAATGCCATCACTGTGGTGTTTCACAAGGGTTTATATGAGGCATTGAATGATGTTTTGCTTTTTTTTTTTTTTTTTGTAAGAAGGCATAACTCTTTTGCTTGAAGAACTAATAGTACTTTTAAAAAAGCTCTGCAATTTTACAGTGATTCATGTTGTTTTGAATGATCAATAACATAATGATAATCAGAAATACATTCTATTTAAGAGTATTAAGAGAGGCTGCTTGATTCAAAGTGAAAGGATGTTTTCTGTTTGAGTTCACCCTGATTTCTTCTTCCTAACACTGTGTGTAATGAAAACAGTATGTTGTCAGAGTGATAAAGACTGTCTTCTCGTTTCTCTGCTGTCAGGGGGTGCGGTATGTCCAAACAGCAGCAGCTCCTGCAGCGGAACCGAGAATAAAGAAGTTCCAGGTGTACAGATGGGACCCAGACACGGCAGGGGACAAACCCCGAATGCAGACCTACGAGATTGACCTCAACACGTAGGTGTCACAGTTTTCCCCTCATCCATGAGGAGGCGCAGCATTGTGGTGCAGTGCAATAATCAGAGTTCTTACTGCATAAATGTTGATGATATGAATTATGCGCTGATATTAAAAACGCCGTGATTGAGCTGAAGCTGAATCTGTGGTTTTCTATTTTGAGTCATCTTGCAGTTCATGGTCACTTGTTTTCTGAAAAGAGAACTTTATCTTGCATTCAGCCAGACACATTGATTGTCTGTGGGCATTGTTAATTGAAATTCGATTGTCGCTGGAAGAAGTGCAGCAAAGAGGACTTTTCAAGAGGAACATTAAAATTCCCTCAAATCCCTGCCGATTTTTTTTTAAAATAATGTACACAGAGAATATGGCTACTTTAATTGCATTGCTCTAAGTGGATCATGTTCACTTGAACTGGTGAAGTTAATGCTCAGTACAATTCATTTATATGAAATATGAAATTTTGAATTTTGAAATTTCCTGAAAAACCTGTCAGGATTACCTTTGCACAAGTTGATCAGATATGTCTCCTTTTAAACTTCATGTCTTCACATTCTTGTCTCGCTTGCTCAATTTATTTCACAGTTGCGGCCCGATGGTTCTTGATGCCCTGATCAAAATAAAAAATGAAATGGACTCCACTCTGACCTTTCGCCGCTCTTGCAGAGAAGGTCAGTAACACGGAGGCCGGAGTGTGATACCAGAAAAGTTGTTATTCATTGATTTGAATCCACACTATTAAAAAAACAAAATGCATTAACCTTAAGATGATAAAACAATAATGAAATGAGGAAAATCATTATTTTGTGAAATGAGTAGTGGTAAAGATTAAATCTAACCTGAAAAGTTTCAAATGACTCAGTTGTGAAGTTTGCTTTGTAGATATGCCTAGCATACGAAACACAAGGATAAGGACTCTGTTACTCTTTTGTGTGTGTGTTTCAAACAAAATAACTTTCTTTACCTTGTCTTGTTTTAGTAATTCCATCCAAAACTTGTATTTTTTTTGTTTGTGAATGTAGGTATCTGTGGATCCTGTGCAATGAACATTAATGGAGGAAACACACTCGCCTGTCTCAACAAGATCGACACCAACATTAGCAAGCCAACGAAGATTTACCCTCTGCCACACATGTATGTGGTCAAAGACCTTGTACCTGTGAGTATATACCCATCACACCCTGAACAAGCCTGCCTCCAGCAGATAACATGTTACTCCACTAGTCCCATCAGCTTCCTTTTGTGGGGGCTGTTAAGATTGATCTAACAATTTCATCCTGTTTTGATGCAAAGTGTCAAAGATAAAATCACTCATTCAATTTAACTGCCAAATGTGAGCTATGACCTAACATTATGATATCAGTGATATCAGGTCAAGACATCACACAACTTTCCACTTCATCTTTGGCTATTTTTTGAACCAAGTACCCCTTAATCAAGTTGTATTCTTATGGTTGTATGCCAACTGGATCCTTGATTGTACGACTGTATGTTACAGGACATGAGTAACTTCTACGCACAGTACAAGTCTATTGAACCCTACTTGAAGAAGAAGGATGAGTCTATGGAAGGAAAGGAGCAGTACCTGCAGACTGTGGAGGACAGACAAAAACTGGTACATCACAGCTTTCATTTTGGTAATACACTGAAGTTTTAAAAGCACTAAGTGAACATGAAATAAGTCTTCTTTTTTGCTTATCTCATGTGTAGGATGGGCTGTATGAATGCATCCTGTGCGCCTGCTGCAGCACAAGCTGCCCCAGCTACTGGTGGAATGGAGACAAATATCTCGGGCCTGCTGTGCTGATGCAGGTGTGTGTTAGTTAGAGCACTTCAACTTTTAGCAATCACTGAGTAAATCTGCATACAAAGTCAATGAGCTACTTTGTGTTTCCTCTCAGGCATACCGCTGGATGATTGACTCAAGAGATGAGTTTACAGAAGAGCGTCTGTCCAAGCTACAGGATCCTTTCTCCCTCTACCGCTGCCACACTATAATGAACTGCACCAAGACTTGCCCCAAGGTAACATTTTGGCATACAACTGCAGCCACACAACCAATGCATCTTTGTCTTCATTCTTGTGCATGAAGATTTCTCACAACGATTCTAATAGATGTTTTTCTTGTCTATCTCTCAGGGTCTGAACCCAGGCAAAGCGATAGCAGAGATCAAGAAAATGATGGCCACGTACAAGGAGAAGAAGGCCGCTGCCATCTGAATCCATGTTGTCCACTTCTACAACTTTTCCATCCATGACAAATTATATATTGATGAAATATTGCTTATGATGGTCTAAATGACCAGTACACCTTACAACAACAACAACAACACCACCACCACACACGTATTAATGTGTGTGTGTGTGTGTGTGTGGTTGGAGGACTTGGTGTTATACAAACGCACATTATAAAGTATGAATGCAGGAGAGTGTGTGTGTGTCTGAGTCTGACATTTACCATAAGAGAGGTATTTATCTCCAACTCCACTGTGTGTCTGTTTATGCAGTAGGGAGACTTGATGCTGCATATTTAAGTAAAAACAAGGTGTTTTCATGTGTAAACTTTTCTTACTTTTCAAAGTAGCCGCCAGTTCTTGGACATAAAGTTTATATTTTTCCTCAAGCCAACAACAGACTGTTTGAATGCAAAAATAAATAGTGAAAATGCTTACAACTGTCCTCATTGGTTATTATTTGCTGTCCCTCAGTGCTGCTTAAAATATACACCTGCTTTAAATCACATTTATAGTCGATAACTTCAGGTGTGTGAGTTTTGGTGGTGAAATTTGAAAGTTGGAGAAGTGAAAAATGTTGTGCTATTTTCTGAACTGAATACACTAACTTTATTCAAATGAAAAAAATGGGTCCCTGAACACTTTTCAAAGCTTAAATGCTACCAGGAGAGTTACGGTTTCACCTATCATTTTATCTTCAAACAGTGTTACAGGGACCACATTTTACTCAGAGGACAGTTTGTGTATAGAGTTATGGGCATATACCACAGAAGCTGTACACTTCTCCAACTTTCAAATTTCTCTACCAAAACTAGATAGTACACCTTCAAGTGTCCTCTAGATGACACTGTGGTGCAGAGCCTCAGCTCCCAGTGAGCTCAGCCATCAGGTTTCATCACTGTGTCTCTGGGTTCTTTTACACAAAGGTATAAGTGTTAATGTTTCTGTAACTCCTATAATATCTAATCGAATTGTGATTTATTTTTTATTTTAAAAAAAAAATCCATCTACAGTTACTGGTTAACAACAGATGTGTTGATTGTTGTTTGATTTATGGAATTTGCTAATCTGACAATATCTGTCCTCTATAACTACATGACTGGACTTGAGAGAGGTCATTTGATTTGATGATCTGTGCTGCTGTTTTCATTGTGACATTGTTTGAGTCTAAAGACTTTAACACAAATAAACCAAATTTCGACATTCATAAATATATGCTATGGTATTTAGAATAACAATAACCGTTCATACACTGATTTTGGTCATTTTAAGAAAATAATGGTTCCTTTTGTCTAACAATGAACCTCAGTGTTTTATAACTAGAATATTCATTTAGTTGGTGTTATTAGGAGTTAAAATTAAACACCTTGAACAAAATCATTTATAAAAATGATTTTGCTGGTAAGATTGAACACATTACAAGTCATCGACACAAAACAAGGCCTTATAATGAAATACGTGAAATAGAAAAGTAAGCAATGGTTAGCAATGACTTTAAAATAAACAGTTTATTGTAGGCTACATAGGCCTACTTGTGTAATTTGCTGCAGATGTGCATGACATGATGTGGCAAAATATTAGAGAAGTTATGATAGGAGAGGCCATAGTGTTTGAATGACTGTTCTTCAAACTTTGACAATGAAAAATGATTTCCCAAGTTTGCTTTTATTTACATAAACAACTAGAATGATCAGAGAAGACCCATTAATGTTTCAGGCACTAGGCTAACTTTATATTCATTGTCACATCTCCACTGTTTGGTTACCAAGCAAAGCTGATAGACGTGATTCGGTATCCAGTCCAGCACCCACCCACCATCAATAATCGGTAAGTTCATTGATGCTTTGCTATGATATAGAGGGCCTCAGGACTGTGACTGTGAACGGGTTTGCCGTTGTTCTTGCAGCTGTCCCCGGTGCTGCGACCGGGGGCTGGAGGAGGCTGGGACCGGGCGGGGAGGAGACTACAGATGTGGGCTGGTACAATGTGGCGCTGTGAGGTCCTGCACCACTCAGAGGACGCATGAGAGCTGAGGAAAGTCGGAGCAGACTGAATCAAAGTAAGGTAAGAAAGAAGTGTCGTGACGGGGTTTTAAGTGCTTTAGCTGAATCTGCTTTTTATGCATGCGTTTGCTCAGAAAGTGAAGAAGACTTAACAATGTGTGCTGGTAACTGTGGGAGGGGGGGGGGGATCTAAAGATGTGAGGTAACTGTGCACTGTTTGCATGCAGAGTTGCCCCTTTGTCTTAATCTTTAAACCACCCCAAGAGTTTTATCATTCTGCTGAATGTAGACCGAATAATTGTGGACAATTTGCTTTTATGCTAATGGCTGTTTAGAGCTGACATGTGGTGTAGTGTTTTCACTGGAGAGGAGAAGGAGGAGGGACTTCATAGCTCAGTCTGCAGTAATGACACTACAATGGAGAGAGGGTGCCAAGAGGGAAAACCACACACACACACACACACACACACACACACACACACACACACACACACACACACACACACACACGCAGTCTTCGCTTGCAGAGCAAGGGGGTCGATGAGGGCACATGGAAAGATGGTTTTGAATTGTTATTTATTTACTCGTCACAGTTGCATGAAAACAAAAGGCATAAAATAGATGACAGCAATGCATCTCTTGTTGCTGTCCTCAGAAACTCCTACAAATGAGTTTGTGTATGTGTGTTTTTGTGTGTGGGTGGTTGTGGGGAGAGGGGGTCTCTAGCTGGGAAGGAAAGGACTCAATTGGGGAGAGGGGGGCTAATCTCTCCCAGATGTGTGCTGTGAAAACATATGGTTTCTGATAACCACTGTGATGCAGTGGAAGAATGTGTGTGTGTGTGTGTGTGTGTGTGTGTGTGTGTGTGTGTGTGCGCGTGCGTGTGCATGTGCGTGTGTGTGTGTGTTTGAGTGTTGTGCTGATACACAAGCTTTCTCAGACACACACACTCATCATCTACTGATTTATTGATACACAAGTATGTGTATAGCTTGTGCAAACATTGCTTCAATCACATGTTTTGTGTCCAGTACAGCCTTACAGAAACGGGATGCAATGACTCTAACACACACACACGCAAACAGACACACACACACACACACACACACACACACACACACACACACACACACACACACACACACACACACACGCACACGCTGTCAAAAATTAACATACATTTGAATTGCTAAAATACCAACAGAATAGGCTTTCACACACCTTTCCTAACTATAGACGTTTCTGCTAACTTTCCAGTAAATGTACGGACCCAATGCCTCTGTGACATTCATACCGAAGGACTGACGTCTCAGGAGCGTAAATATGGTGATTTGAACAGGCAGTCTGAATAGGTCTTGTCAACAGGGGACACTTTTGAGGTCCGCTGTTGACTTAGAGGTCCACGTTTGGTCAAGGTGTAACAATACCTTAGTCCACACTCACACACAACAAACACACATGATCCCTCTTGGCAAACATTATGAAAATTCATCATAGAGGTCATGACATGATTTTAGCATGATTTAGAGCTTTTCCAACACTTTAACAAATTCCCATTTTGACTCAGAGGTCCACTGTTGATGAATGTGTAACAATGCCTTAGTCCACTAGATTTAGAAGCACACAATCTTATACCGTAAACATTTTCCCACACTGAAGAGCTTCACAGTGAGGGTTGTAAAATTAGGCCAAATTCAATGCTCCATGTTATGTGTATGAAGCTGCCTACAATGGAGCTGCAGTGGAGGAGGAGCATTCATACTTTCCACTAAGAAGAAAAGTAGTTAAGTCAGTGTAACAGGAAGCAAATGTCATGGATTTTACTGTATGAAACACTTCAGTTGTGTCTTCATGAGTTAGAGAAAGAAGTGTCCTGTTGTACCAGTCAGTGATGTCTTGATGCTGTCAGTGTTCATATTTTCTGTCCACATGTCATTTTCAGTCAACCCGCGAGGCTCTTTTGCTCTGTGGAGTGCAGAAGAAAGAAAAAGGGGAACAAGGAGGAGAGAGGAGTGGGTGGGGGTTCAAGGAAATGACCAATGCAGGCGACAGAGGGGGAAATGAAGGATGTGGAGACAGACAGAGAGAGAGGGAGGGAGGGACGGAGCAAACTCATAGAGAGGGGTGGGGTTCAGGGGTCCTCTGTTTCTTTTCCTGGAATGCAGCCGCAAGACTGTCTGCTGCTGCTGCTGCAAGGAAAAGTAGGAAAACAGAGTTCTTAGGAAGACAGACATGCCACATTCTTGCTGTCAGAAAGCCCCCCCCCTTTTCTTCTTTTTGCCATGGCTGTTGTGGGGCCAGCAGGAGGATGAGGGGGAGGGGGAGAGATGAGAGAGCAGTGGGGGGTTTGAGAGGTGACAGAGGGCAGGGGGAAAGAGAGGAGAAGAGAGTTCAGAAGACCAAAAGGAACATCCAGCACTAAACTTTTTTTCATGTTGCTCTGTTTTAACTGTTGACGCTCTCTTTGCCCCCTTCCAGTTTCCAGTCTGTCTACCTCCCAATAGTGACCATGAGAGTCCTCCTACTAATCTGCATGCCAGGTAAACCCACCAAGTTTCTAAAAAACCTGGTTCCAAATATTGAATTTCTCTCTGGCATTTACATCATATTAAACAAAAATTCCACCTTATAATGTCTTAAAGTTACTATTCCTAAACTCAACAAGATGCTGTGTCCTTTCACTATCCCAAATGATTCCCCCAAAAAAGTGCAGTCAGGAGAGATCCATCATTTTATTCAAGCTAACAGTGCGTTTCAGGAGAATGTAGGTCAACTGTTATTGGGATTATTTTATTGACATTACATTATTTGTATAAACCTGTCTAAATATAAAGTAAATAAAAGATTACCTGGTCCGCTGCATTTAGTCACGTCATGCTAAAACCCTCATGTCTGAATTTTTTGGAACCGGCGACCCTCCAGTTACCAACCAGAGTCCCTACAGACTGAGCTACTGCCGCCCCAAGATAAATACAGTTTGATGCTTCAACTGTTAGCCTCAATGGTCACAAAGTTTAGCTTTAAGAAATACTTGAAAAGGATGTGATCATGGCCCTCTTATTATATACTTATCTGATAAATGTATGTTTTTATGTTAAGTACATTTGAGAAGAAAAAAAAGGATAATTGGGTATTTTGCACATGTAGTATACAAGTAGTATATAATCTTTGGTGATCTATTATTAGTCACATGACTTATCAATCTATTGCATGAAAGGACGTTTTCCAGACCCCAAGAAAAAATGATGAATAAAAGAGAGGTTCCATGTTGTTCATTGTGTTTTAATTTGATTGTGTTGCATAAAGTTACCACTTTACACTTCCATGCAATGTTGACCATGGCAGAACTACTCCTAAGTGTATTGAATTGATTAAAGGTGGAATGATTTTAATGATTAGTTCAGCATTTCATTTTTGAGAGGAAGTATCTGTCATTTCATTGTCTCACTATAAAACTCATGTTTGTCACATCTCACTGTTTAGATATTCTTAAGTCTGGAAAAAAAAAACAGTTACTGCCATGGAAAACATGGTGGGGCAATGTTTAAAACTCAAACAAAATGAAATATAAAATATATTACAAAACAAGGAGCAAGTCATATTTCCGAAATCACCTGAAGAAGATTACTCGTTGCTTAAAAGGTGTTTGTTTTCTGTGCATATTGTACTTTAATTAGAGACTTTCTTCTGCATTTTATTGGTCAACACATTTATTTATCACTTTGTTGTTGTCTGAAATGTCAACAGTTCTGCTGCTCGCCCAGGCCCAGTACCAGGAACAGTTTCCTTTTTTGGGTGAGTTCATTTGGTTGAATTTTGGCCTTGACTTTTTAAGATTCACATCAGTTTAAAACAACGCTGTCCCACATCTGTATCTGATTTCTCTAAGTTCCTCTGATGTATAGCCTTGAGAAGTTCTCTCTCCTATTTCAATTATTTACCACCTGCAAAGAGGTTGTAATCACAGAGGTAATAACACCACTCTGCATGTTATTACCTGTAAACGTCTTTTACGTGATATCATGTATAATGGCTGCAAACAGCTTATTAGTTCATTTTTATCATGCAGGTGGTTCATTTTATATAAAGTAAGGCTTTGTGTGTGTGTGTGTGTGTGTGTGTGTGTGTGTGTGTGTGTGTGTCTGTGTGTTTGCAATAATTGCTTTAACAATGATGACCTCATCACATTTTTTATCTCTCTTGATCTTTTTATGACATCACAGAGGACTATGGGCCGGATTATTTCCCAGGTAAAGCATTGTCATGTTCATGGAAATAGTCCTTGATATTAATTCTATATTTGAAATGTTTTTTTTTCTCATGAATGTGACTCCTCTCTCTCTCTTGTTCCAGATTCTGAAAATCCTGAATCTCCTCCTGGAACCTACCAGCAGCAAGTTCGACTGGAGCCAGTGGTGCGTCCAGAAAAATCAGGTATTTTAGCTGAATAGTACTCTATTCTGAGTAATGATATTTAAGAGTGGTTTATATGTTGTTTAGAGCTTATTTGTAATTATTTTCATATGGATTTCAGAGTCGGAGACGGAGCCCACTGAGCCTGGTCCTCTAGGTAAGAACTTCTAAAGACAGCGGGGCAGTTGATCTGGTCTTTAGTGTATTTTATATTTTGCTGTGTGTTTGATTCCCAGACTGCCGAGAGGAACAGTATCCCTGCACCAGACTCTACTCTGTTCACAAGCCATGCAAACAGTGTCTGAACAGCCTCTGCTTCTACAGGTACGCACTGCATGACCTGAAATGATGCAGTATGATGCAATGTGCAGATGTTTGGCATGATGATCGTAACTCAAACGTACCATTTTCACAAAATGCAAACTACCGTCGAGTTTTTTAATACTCAGAATAGAACGGATTCAGAATGTTCCAGAACAAGTGTGTGACAAGATGAACCTGGAAGAGGAAATTAAACCTCAGTTCACAGAGTTGTCTATTTTTTTAATGCTAAGCTACTTCCTAAAACACACAGTGAAGTTGTATTGTTAGCCTCAGTCCTACAGGGATTAATCCATGTTTGATGGGAACTGTTTCTGAGGTGCAACCAAGTATTATCAGCAGCTGGACATGGAAATGGGATTGACTAAAATTGGCAACACAGATAATACGTTGTTGGTTAAGAATATTTTTTTTCACACTTTGAGGAAAAAACAGAAAATTAAGAGAGACTTATTCTTTAAGTAGAAAGTTAGACATGATATTGACGTCCCTTTTTGGGGGGGAACTTGTCCTTTGGCACCTCTGTGTTTCAATCTCACTTATGGCCTCTAAATGTGTTTTTCATTTAGTTTGCGTCGGGTTTACGTCATCAACAAGGAGGTCTGTGTGAGGACTGTGTGTGCTCATGAAGAACTGCTCCGAGGTAGGTTCAGTTTAATGTGCCTTTGATGTTTTTGTTCTCTTTTGTATTGTGCCTTATTTCAACCCCCCCAACCCCACCCCACCCCACCCTCCTTGTGTTTAGCGGACCTGTGTCGTGACCAGTTCTCTCGGTGCGGCGTGGCAGCTTCCAGCGGTCAGTGTGCATCACTGGGAGGAAGCTGCGGGAAGAGCTGTGGAGGCTGCTGATTGACTTCAGAGATCAGGGACATGACCTGCCCAGATACTGCCGCTTCCCTTCTACTCATCCAACCCTCTCACTTTTTCCCCCTCCTTCACCCTCCTTACTTTGCCTTTACTCTTCCTGCATCAGTCCTGTGCCAAAAGCACTTTTGCATTTGTACTTTTGTCCTTTTTTTTTTAATCACTGTCTTCTCTCTTGTAGGCCTACGTCTGCCCAGTAGATCCTGTGTGTATGGCTAAATATAATCCAAAGAACAATGATGATTGTATAAATCACTGGTGCTATTAAATCGTCACACTGGTGCTACTACAGATGCACATAAACATCTTTTTTGAATTTTTTGGCTTATTGCACCGCATTATTCTCATGCTTTGAGTTTGATATGTTACTGTAGTTGTGTTGTAAAACAAGTCATTGTCATTATGATGGACTTGTTGATGGTGCACTGACATCAGACAAACCTTTTGAATACCAGTAGCCAGTAAGATCCCAGGATTTGTAAAGGAACAGGTGGCGAGTGACCTCAGTTTTGTACTACTGCTACCTGGATCTGTGCTTCGCAATCAACTAGCAATTTTATAGGAATATACTCCAGTGCTTTGAAAAGGCATCCCACACACAACCCCCGTACTACTGCTTCGTAAAACTGTCACTATAAAGACTGAGAAAAAAAAATAAACTTTTTTTTTACTACACCTGTTCATTGTGGGTTTCATTGCTGTAACATATTTCTGAAGCTCTGTGGTTAAAAGTATTTATGAAAGACTTGAGTTATAGTGCACACAGTGAGTTTATTCTCCTGCAGTCATCTGGCTTCCATGTGTGTTGTCCATACAAGTCATGTTGCTGTTCATCATCATCAGCCTGTCAGTATATAAGATAAGTACAAAGTATATACACCTAATAAACTATGAACTTTTTAAAAACATACCATTTCTGTACTGTCATACTGCAGTGCTAATTCTTCAAATCATCTGTAAAATCTTCAGTGCACTTCCTTCATTTGTGTAGTGAAGTGTTCCCTGCTGTTTCCACAAAGGGAAGACCTTCACTTTCCTTCTTAGTGTCCTCAAATGTTAGCATTATATGTAGGGGAAACAAGGCCAAAATGCTCTACTTGGCAGATTTTCTTTGCTGTGCTGAATCCAGACTCTGTACGCAGGGGAATCCTGCAGTGATTTGGGTTTCTTCTCGGGTAAGAGCAGGAAGTCTGGGAAGATGTTGAGAGCAAGGATCAAGCACAGCTGCCTGCCAGAAATCAGCCGACTTCTGGCATTTTCACCACAGTTGCTGGATCACATCAATCTCAGCTCCCTCGCCTTGTCATGGGTGTGCCAAGTGAAGTCTTCTTAATCCCACAAAATGTCCATAAAACACCATCGAAATAACAGTTGGGTTTCAGAGCAACAAAGCACATTTAAAACGGCAGAGTAAACGTATGAACACTTTTAGGGATGTCTCTACAACTACATATTGCTTTTAAGACATTCACAAGAAGTGGATATTCCCTGGATTAGATACTCATTGAGTGCTGGTGCTTCTGGTTTTAAGTAGCTTCTCAGTTTCCTGGTGACATCAAGGAGGATGGAAGAGAAGCTTTCCGTTTCATCTCTTGCTGCAGCTGCTCCTTCAGGGTGGAAACCTAGACTCACACAGAGGGAGACCAAAGTAGAGTTTTAAACATGGAATAACACTGAAGGTAGAAAGGAGTGGGGATTAAAATGGTCATATGATGCATACTTTTATACTAGAGATGTCTAAAGCAAAAAAAAAGATCACAAAATAACGAAGCTAAATCAGTCATGATGACTAACAATGTAAAACCAAATGACTAGGTAAGAACTTTCATAAAGTTTTATTTATCTATTAGCACTATCCATCTAACATAAATTACTTTTCTATCATAAACAAAGTCTTAGGATTTAGAAAGTGCTAAATTATACTGGTGATCAAAAAACATTTAGATATTCCTAATATTAAATAACAACCAAAACCAGCTCATACATTGTGGCGGAGAAGTTTAGTTGAACCTTCAAAACAACATTTGCTGTGTACCTGCTCCTCCAGGCCTTTGACTCTGTGTCTGTGAGCTCGCTCCCTGGTACCCAGCGTTCGCTCCACGTCCCTGTAGCTGCTCCTCAGTCTCTCCGTCTCGTGCTGGGCCTCATCCCGCTGCCTCGCCAAACTCTCACACAGACTGTGCGACTGCTCCATCTCAGCCAGCTGAGTCTGCTCAACACACACACACACACACAGATGGAAGTTTGACATGTTTACAAAAAGGAAAAGGATAGAAACTCAGTCCAAACACCAAAAGCTGAAGAGACTTGGTTTGGATCAGTTCCAAACAGCCATGTTGGAGGCTCTGTGGTGTCCTGAATGAAGCGGGTTTGTGGCTCCACATTAAAAAGATGGTTAAACATATTTTTATTTCTTTGAATGCTTTTGTAAACACTTATAATGTAAAGGTTGGATCATGTTCATGTGATGAGATGCTGTACTTATAACTTATAACATATACTGTATAAGAAGTATGCCTGAGTATCAAAAGACAGAAAGTTGAGCTGGTTTGCTGTGTTGTTTTCAGGTCTGAAATATCAACACCAATCAAAGACTCAAGTAAGATGTAACACAAAAAAAGACATTTCATTCCACCCACACAAACAGCTAACCAACAGGTAGTTTGTCACAACATTTACGGACAAGCAAACATCACAAAGCTGTTGTTGTTGACATGAATGAGACAACGAACAGCTGTGAGTTTTATGGGTCTGACAAAGTTCCTCTGACAAATGGTTGACGGCCTCTGGAAGACAAGCCTCCAGCATGCTCATAAGTTGTTGCTTGAGGAGTGAATTCCATATGCGCATTCCTAAAACATTGTGGCAAATGCTCAAGCAGTTGTGAGGTGCAGTTTAAGATGACAAACACTTCTGCTTTCCTTTTTTTTAAAGTTTTTTTTATGCTTTTATCAGAAAGACAGGAGACACAACAGTGGATAGAGTCGGAAATCGGGAGAGAGAGAGTGGGGTATGTCATGCGGGAAAGGAGCCACAGGTCAGATTTGAACCCGGGATTCTAGCCCTCGTTCATGGGGCGCACGTGTACTAACCACTAGGATACTGGCGCCCCGCTTCTGCTTTTCTAAACACATAGAAATGAAGCGTGGGTGGTCCAAAACGCATGAAATAAACAAGTTGAATTACTTTTGCTTAATTGTGACGAGACTCACTGTAGCTTTATCTATTTCCTTGTTTACAGCGTGTCTGTGGTTTGTTTATCAGAGTTATGAACTGAACGATTCAAAGAAATATTTTAGGGGTTTGGTTTTTATCTCTGCTTGTATGGTGTTATCTATGACAACTCTTGACTGCTGACTTTTAACAAGTTGTGATGTACGATATCAAAGTCTTGTCTGATTTTCTGGTAAGTAATAAATGAGCTCAAACTCTCTAATAGAACAATAAGGAACAACTGGCCTCCTCCTGTGACATTAACAAAAGAAAATGTTGAAGCCCTACAAAACTCTGCATGACTTAGGTCAGTAAATACAACAACTATACAGACAACTTATATACTTATATACTATAAAGTCTAACTGTCATTAATTCAAAGGCCCGTTAAAGCCAGTGTTTTGGCTCTGTGTATCAGTGAAACATGGTGGACTTCAGACTGTCTTCATGTGAGATGTGAAGCTGCCATGAAACAAATTCTGTGTTGCCACATTCAGTTTGCTAACAGCAGCTTGAGGAAGCTTCTAAGGCTGTTGCCTCATATTTTGCATGAAAAGGTTTTTACAAAGAAGGCTGATGTGTTTTCTGATGGGTGCAAGTGTAAAGGTTGGATCAGGCGTTGCATCCCACCTGCAGCATCAGTATCTGTTGCTGAGCTTCCTGTAGCTCCTGCTCCGTGGTGTTAAGAGAGCGATCCAGCCGGTTTTTCTCTGCGGACAGCCGCATGCTGCCCTCCTCAGTCTTCAGCTTCTGACGCTCAACCTAAAGAATGATGCATTCATGAAAATGTGAACAAATGTGAGACATGTTTAATTGTCAAACCATATACTGACATCACGAGACACTTTTTATTTTTTTTAAGATTCATTTTGGGCTTTTCGTGCATTTAATGCAGAGAGAGGACAGTGGATAGAGTCGGAAACCAGGGAGAGAGAGCGGGGAATGACATGCGGAAAGGGGCCACGGGTGGAAGCGAACCCGGGCCTACCGCTCGAGACGAGAGTCTCAATACATGGGACGTGCGCCCTAACCGTTGCGCGCCCCACGAGACACTTTAATTCAGAGAAAAAATAAACCGTTCAATTCATAGATGAAGACAAACTTTCGTAAAATGAGGATTTTTTTCACAAAGGGAATATAGTATCTGTAAACACTATTAGCAGGTGAACATGTTTTATCTATGCCTGCAGCTTAACTCAATGGATGGTAATGCTGGTGCGTCATTCTGCACACCAATTTGGCCTGGATTGAAACATTGCAACAACCTCTGAAAAGACAAAGTTAAATCTTCTGCTGAACGGTTGGAATGCAAATCCTAGCATGCTAACACAGTATGTTAAAATGTTGAAAATTGTAAACATTAAACCTGTTAAACATCATTTAAGCGTTGTCGTTGTGATGATTCCAACATGCAGATGTTAGAGCCTTTTGCTAATACACCACTGAGCAACAGTAGAGACTCATCATGGCTGAAGAGTATTAGTTTTTTTAAGAAGTCATTTTTGTTTTGAATGGATACATTCGATATTCACATAAAAGGCTCATTACTATGTTCCTAGGGTTCCATTATCACTAACACTGATGGCAATTAATAAAGAGCTGTTGTTTCAGTTTTAAACCATCCAACATGGGAGAGGGATTTTCCAAATGTACTTTGACTTTTTTTTTTTTTTTAGGTCTAGGAAAGTATCTTGGCCTCTATTTGAGAGTGTAGGTTTCAATGAATGTCATCCAGGCTATAAGCTGGCTGGTGATTCAAAGCAAATTGACCAAGGTTTACTTGAGGTTTTCCATTGAAACGTCCCTTTTATGTGTCATGTGAAACTGTTCAAATGAAAACTAGTGGCAAGCTCAGATGAAAAGTGAGAAAGCCCACAATTCTTTATCACTAAGTTTTGCAGGTACAACATGTGTCTATGTAACATTCAAACTTTTTCATTGACAAATGTCTCTGTGAGGAAATGTCTGGATGAGTGTGCTCTATATTGTGGTCACAAGACGCTGACCTTATCCAGTGTATTCCTCAGAGCATTCTTGTCTTTTTCCAGCCTCACAGCCTGTCTCTCAGCATCTTTCTTTTCAGTCTCCAGCATGGCGACAGCTCGTTGCAGCCCACGCAGTCGCTCCTCAACAGTGGCCCTCTCTGTCTGAGCTGCCTGAGCGCTGCGCTGAGCCTCCGCTAGACTGGCCGAGCGCTGACGCAGAGCCTAATGTAAGGAGAAAAAAACGACTTTTTGAAAGGTACTCGAGAAAAAAAACATTTAATGACAATTGCATTCGAGGTCACAGCACAGGTTCAGCTGAAAGTGTTTGTGTCTCTCACCTCTTGATTGTTGTTGAGCTCTGCCTCCAGTTCCTCTCGTCTCAGCTCACTCTGGCTTAGTTCACTTTGCAAGCTTTGCACACGCTCAGTGAGGACAGAAATGTTCCTTTTCCCCTCCGCTGATGATGTCCGGGCTT